GCGAGAAAATGACATCTGAGGGGCCATTATGAGTGACTCAGCGGTGTGGGCAGACAGACCGTCACATGAACCGAACTCCGCTTCTTGTCCTCGGCCTCGGCGTGTTTTTCTCTGGGAAAGAAGTTCTGGGAGGAAGAAGTCGTTTTCAGAGAGAAGGAACTAGGAGAACACGGCTGTTTTTCCACGAGCTGGGCTGCCCGGCTCCACGGGGGCTTGGGGACCTCGTGCCCAGCGAGCCGCCCATCATACCCACGCCACGCTGGCCTCAGGGCGCTCCGCCCTTCCTGGACCCCATGCCAGGCAGTGGACTCTGTACCACCTCTGGGGCACATCGGGAATCAGAGCCGGGCTGTGCCATCTCCCATGTGCAGGAGGAAACACACACGTGCGCAACACATGCACATGTGTGTATGCACATGCACACACGCACTTCCCCCGAAATGCTGTGACTGCAGGGACACGTGCCCCTTCCCCTCCGCCTGTCCGGCCCCCGAGGTGCGCACGGCATGATCCGGTCAGCACCTGGGCCGGAGTCCGTCAGCAGCTCGCCCTCCGGGCCCGTGTCTGCCCGCGAACCCTCCACTGCACGCATCTCAGAAGTCACTCATTCGGGCAACAGACACTGGCCAGGTGCTCTCGGGGACTCGTGGGACCTCGGGGAAGCGGGGAGTATGGGCCCAGCCCTCCAGGGACACAGACAGACAGCCCCGGTCCCCTTGCCACTGGCTTTGACCAAGTTCTCGGCCACCTCATTCAGGAACCTGAGGCTTGGAGAGGACACTGGCGCACTCCCGTCCCAGGGCGACGGCAGAGCTGGGGAAGGGTCGGGTCGCTGGTCTTCGGGCACCTACGTCTAGGGATACAGTGCGAGGTAGGGAGAGGGGTCAGCCCGCCAGCCTCCGGTTCAGCATCTGAGGGGCCCCGGCTGCCCACCTCACCTGTCTCCCCACCCCTGGCCACACCTGGGTCCTGCCAGCCCTCCTCCCAGACGGGGAGCCCATGTGCCCGCCGCCACAGTCTCCCCACCAGCACCCCCGGGGCTGCGCAGCAGGTCACAACCACAGCAGCCCCCCTACTCTGGACCCTTCCAGCCCCTCCTCCCCGTGGCCGCCAGAGGGATCTTTTTTTTTTTTTTAATTGTTTATTTCAGCCTTGTCGAAACAAGGCCACCAAAGATGTGGTTGCCTCCCTCCCCAAAAAAAAACGGGAGAGAGAGAGATCACCAGAAGAATCTTAAATCAGATCCTGCCCGCCCTTCAGGAAGCTGGCGGCCACCGGGGTGAACCGCCCCTCTTACCACAGCTGATGTGTGGTTCAGATCCGCGACAGAAAGGGCCGGCGAGGGCCGCAGGGCGCCCACGGTGCCCGGGCCAGCGGAGCCCGGCCTCCAGGACCCGCCACGCTGTGGGGAGCCTGGCCCGGGGTGCTGGGCGGGGCCTGGCAGCTGTGCGCCAGCCCTGCGGTCTGAGGGGCGTGATCAGTGCCACCTGCCAGCTCTCCGTGACCTGGCCCTGCCGGTGGGCCGCCGTCCCGGGCCTCGCTCCCTCAGCTGCTTCCACGTGAGCGCACCCACCACGCGTCCGCGTGGGGAGGACTGTGCAGGGTCTCTTCCTTCCTCCTAAGAAGGCCAGCACTTCGCATGGCTAAGTCCTCGACATTCGATCTCAACTCACGGGGGGGCGGAGACGACTGTCCCAGAGCCAACCCCCCAGAGACCACATTTTATCCGTTTCCAGGACTTTCTACCAGCAGCTTCCTTTCTCCACACGCCCCCTTGCCTGGTGCCAGCTCCTCGCGGGCAGGGACAACCCCACCGATCTCCAGGGATGGCCCCCCGGTGTGGCACGTACTAGATGCTCAACACACGCCTGTGAGTCCTGACTTCAGAAAGCCACGACCCGACCGGCGGATGGGCAGCTCCCGGGCCGGCCGTGACCAATATGACGCCGACGGCCAGCCTCCTGCATGAGACCCCAGGGGGCACGCTGCCTCCTGAGCAAGGGTGTGCAGCCAGGAGAGGGCGTGATGACGGTGGCCTTTGGGGACAGCACCAGGATCGGTTCCACACCAGACTGCCCAGTCAGAAGGCCTCTGCAGCCAAGGCATCTGGGATTCAGGCTGAGCATCCAACCTAATGGCCACGTGGATGGAGAGAGTCCCGACGGCTAGCAAGAAGCCGGGGTGCATCCGGCCGCTGTGGCTCAGTGGCTGAGCATTGACCCAGCACCAAGAGGTCACCGGTTCGATTCCCGATCAGGGCACATGCCCAGGCTGTGGGCCTGATCCCACTGTGGGGGCGTGTAGGAGGCAGCCAATCAATGTTCTCTCTCATGGATGTTTCTCTCTCTCTCTCTCTCCCTTCCTCTCTGTCTAAAAAATCAATAAAGGGAAAAAAAAACAAAAGCAAAGCAAGCCAAGGTGCCCGTGAAGCCAGGCTAGCCTCGCGAGCTCCGCGCGCCGTCAGCAACCCTGCAAACAAAGGCAGTGCCCAGGCCAAATTCAGGAGTGCGGAGTGACAGGCGTGTCTGCAGCTTTGGGGTGGGAACCGGATAACACGCGGGAAGGGGGGAGGCTTCGGAGCAAGTCACAGAGACAAGCACTCGAGCTACAGGTGTCCCCCTTCAAGCTGGGAGAGGGACCAGCCCCGGCCCAATGGCGCAGTTGTGCATTCTCTATCCCGACGAGGGAAAATCGACCTTATTTTTAGAAATAATAGGTTTTGGGGTTGTGGCCTTGGATCACGTGTGCGTCAGGAGACTTTGTGGGGTGAAAAAAGCGGGGGAGGGACCAGATCGCAACCAGCCACCCGTGAGCCTCCTGCTAAGTACGGGTCCCCTGCCCTGGCGGAGCCTCGGTCTTCCCACCTAGGAAACGGGGAGATGGCTTCCGGCACCACCCTCCAAGGGGGGTGCCTACATCCACGGGCGGAAGCTTCCCAGTCTGGACACTACTTTAGAAGCTCACGTCTCTGCCTGCACGCAGCTCTGGGGAGCAGGAAGGACTCGGTTACACGCTGGAGGAAGCCCAGGGCACAAGGTCTGAGAGAGGGCTCTGTATGGTGCCAGGTACGCGAGTCCCAGATGCACAGCGGGGTGCGCACCACAGAGGCTGAGCAGCGAGAGCCAGGGGCCTGCCCTAGCCGCCTGCTCCAGGCCCCAAGCTGCGGCTCAGGCGGTGCTGTGGGCAGAGATGAGCAGGCCCCGGGGCGGCCGTCCAACAGGTTCCTTGGTCCTCCCTCCTCGTCCTGAGCCGAGCCAGCGGCCTCTCGGGCGTCCACCTGCCTGCCGACACCTGGCTTGCGCTGGTCCGCGGCCACCCTGCTCTTCACAGTCAGCATCCACTGATCGCAGCCAAGTTCCTGCATGCAGGGCCCTGGTCCCGCGTGTCTGACCGTCCCGCCCGCCCGCCCGCCCGGGGCTGAAGGGGCAGAGCGGTCACACCAGGCCTCACTCACTTCCTGCCTTGTGAGTTGGGGTTTCAAGTGTCTGGACTCCCTCCCCACCCTGATGCCCAGTTTGCCCATCGCTGTCTGAGTCTGCCTTCTTCTGCCAGGGAAGCCCTGGTGGGCCACAGGGCTCAGCCCCGGGAGTCCTGTCCATCACCAGCCTGAGCATGTCCCGCTCTCCCTCTGGTTAAGCCGCTTTTCCCAGGGCTGTGTGACCTTCCACCCGCCTGACCCTTGCCCGCGGCCCTGGCGGCTGGAGGCCCGTGTCGGGAAGGCCTGCTGCAGAGGCCGGGGTCGCCGCGCTCCGGGAGCTCGCCCTCTGAGCCGGCCCTGTGTGACTGCAGGTCACCTGCTCCAGACGACCGCGTGGCGCGAAGGGTACCGGGAGCTGGCTCTCAGGGAGAGGAGCACATTAAAGGGCGGAGCGTGGCTGCCCCTGAGCTCCGGGGCAGCTTTCCAGGAACACGGACGAACACCTCTGGGCTGAGAGAGCCTGGGCTCCGCCTGAGGCCTCCTTCCGCCCTGCCGGCCACTGCCCCACAGGTGTCCCCCCTGCTGAGGCCCACTGGCACCTCAGCGCTTCCAAGGGTGGCCGCAGAAACTGCTGGACGTCCAGGAGGCAGTCGTTTTGATTTCTGATGGCCAGCCGGGCACAGACCCGGGGAGGGGCCCAGGGCCCGGGGAGGGTGCCCCCTTAGGAGGGCAGCTCAAGTTCACACGGGGAGCCCCCCGCCAAGGCCTGTGCCGACCCTTTCCCTGCAGGCGGAGGCCCACCGCAGCAGGAGCACCGGAGGGGCTGACTCTTCAGTTATGAAATCGGGGCCGGGGGTCCCCACTTCTGCTTTTGGTTCCGCATTTGACCGCGAAGAGTTTTGTCAGCCGGAAATCTCTCCCAGCATCTTTGGTAGCTGGAATGTAGAACTGACGTTTCTGCACCAGGGAGTTTCTGCTTGGGGGCACTGACCCTCTGGAAGGCCGAGCTCCCAGAGCGCCTGGGCCTTGGCAAAGTGGGGTCAGAAAGCCAGGCCAGGGCACAACCCAGGGACAGAGGCTCAGCTCCAGGACTTGGGGAGATCCCTGCCCATTCCCAGGGAGGCCCGGGACCAGGAGGGATGTGGGGACAGGGGCACCTCTCCAGCATCAAGGGTCTCAAGAATCCACATTTAGACCTTACTGTCCCCACCGCACGCCCGCCCCGGCCCCTCAAAGTCTGACGAGGATGTGCTCGGTCCAGCCACCAAGCCACGTGGCTGGTGGCCAGTGGCGAGGTCTGGCCCGGGCTGGCTGCGCGCTCAGCGCCTGACCCCGGCTTCGGCCCCTCCCCCGCCCGGGGCGCGCAGGCTGCTGGCTCAGGGAGGCTCTGCCCGGGCAGCCGGGGCGTGGCCGGGGTCACCGGGGCAGGAGCGGGCGCCCCGCCCCGGGGGTGTGTCCGGGCACCGGGCCGCCACCTTAAGGGCCGGGTGGGGCCTGGGCCAGAGCGCGAGGCCGGCGGGGCGCGGGCGGAGGGGCACCGGCGCAGGATCCGCATCGGGACCGCACGGGACAGGCCGGGATCATGGCGTCGTCGGGGCCGGCGGGGCCGCTGCCGCTGCTGCTGCTCCTGCTGCTGGCGGGCGCGGCCCGGGCCGGCCTGCACTTCCGCCCGGGCCAGAGCTGCTACCGGCCCCTGCGCGGGGACCAGCTGGCCGGCCTGGGGCGCAGGTCCGCGGTGGGGGCCGGCCCCTCCCGGGGCTTCGCGCACTCCCGCCTCCTGGGGTCCCTGCCGCCTCCTTGGGGCGCCTTGCCTCCCCTGACCTTTGAGGGTCAAATGCAGTTTGGGGGTTTCTCTGCTCTTTCACATCCCTGGAGCCCTGGGATTTGCGGTGCCTGCCTCCAGCATCCGGAGCAGAGCTTGGGGCGCAGCCTGCTTCCTGCATTTGGGGGCTGGCCGGTGTGAGAGGGGCTCACGTGACTGGGCGCTGGGTCCCACTCCCTCTCATTTTGGGGAGGAGGGGGGGCCCCAGGAGCCCCAGTACTGACTCTGTTGGTGGTGGTCTCTCCCCAGGACATACCCGAGGCCTCATGAGTACCTGTCCCCATCGGATCTGCCCAAGAGCTGGGACTGGCGCAGCGTGAATGGGGTCAACTATGCCAGCGTCACCCGGAACCAGCACATCCCTCAGTACTGCGGCTCCTGCTGGGCCCACGGCAGCACCAGCGCCATGGCGGGTAGGTGGGGCGAGGCCTCGGCCGTGGGCCAGGACGGCACCGGGCGACCACAGCCCAGGTCCCAGGACTCTGACCCAGGGGAGCTGACTGCCGCTGCCCCCACCACCGAGGAGGCCAGTGGCCCAGGTGGACCACGCCCACCGCAGGGTGGACCTGCCTGGGCCCGTGGGTGCCAGGAGTCACTAAAACCAGTGGCTCCCAGGGGCCTTCTCTGTCCCAAAACTTGTGACCCTGGCCACTTGGGATGGAGCCAGAAATGCCAGCTCAGTGAACCCCCTCCCTGTGCCTTGGCGGGAAATGACACTCCTTCAGACAGCAGCTGACAGTTGAGGTGCGCTAAGCCCTGTCCCCTTTCCTCCTCTGGGCCTTAGCCGCTGGCCAGCACCGGGTGACAGGGGTCGCAGAGCCCTGCTGTGATCTGCCAGCGGGAGGAGGGACAGGGGAGAGGCCGGCCCCAGGGCAGCTCCGCGGCCTCAGTGGTAGCAGGGTCCCAGGAGCACTGCAGTCCTCAGAGAAGGGACTCTGCCGCTGGGCAGCTGCCCCAGAGGGCGGGGCGCTTCTCCGCCGCCGGAGCTCACTGGGCAGGCCCGCTGAAGGAGTGGCGTCTGGCGGGGTCTCCTGGGTGGCCCTGCCCCACCTCAGGGGACTAGTGAGACCTTGGGGACCGCAGCACACACCCACCCTGCAGGGCAGGTAGGCTGAGGCCTCTGTGAAGGTGCAGAAGCCTCTGGGAGCTGGGAGGCAGGAGGTAGTGCCAGAGGGTTAGCCACTGGGCACCGCGAGACGTGGGCCAGGAAGGCAGGGTATGGCAGCCTCAAGGCAGAGGGCCATGGCAAAGGTTGGGCAGGCGGGCAGGGGTGGCAGGCTCCGGGGAGGAAGTGAGAAGTCCTTGTGGCAGGGCCCCAGCGGGGGAGGGGAGGGGACTGCCCAAGTGGCCTGGTGAAGCTTGAAGGAGCTGAGAGAGGGAGTCACGTGCCCAGATTTGCATTCGGCCTCAGATGCACAGGGGCCTGGGAGTGGGTGGCTGGGGCCCGCCTTGGACTAGTCTCTTTCCAGATGGGCGACCGGCCACACTTCTGCGCCTCCTGTGTTCTCCTCGAACCTTACGTTTTCCCCAGCAGCAGGCGGTCCCTCCTCTCTCACTGAGAAAACAGAAGCCCCCAGAAGGGGACTTCCATGGGTGCCTGGCCCAGCTGCCGCCAGTGCAGCTGGCCGTCGTGTCTGCCTTCCTCCCAGTCCCTGGGCGTCAAAGGTGTGACTCCTTTGCCAAGACCCCCTGCCTGTGCTCAGGCTTGGCCGTCACTGTGAGCAGAGCAGGGGCCGGCGCTCAGCCCACCTGCTGCCCCTGCTGGGCTCCCTGCTTCCTCTTCTCCATCCTTGAGCCCACTGCAGCCTCACGGCATGGGCAGCATCCCTGCCAAGGTCGCCAGCAAGGGGCCACCGTGGCGGCAGGGCCGTGGTCAGCCAGGGCCTCCACCTGTGGGCTGTGCTTCCTCTCCTCCCCGTGGGACCCTTTCGGCACGGCCCACCTCCTCCGGCTCCCGTCCTCCAGGGTCACCAGTGAACCCAGGTCCCAGGACTGAGCCTCCGCCCGAACTGTCCCTGGGCTTTACGCCGCCCGCCCACGCCCCCCTCGCTGGGACACCTGCCACCCCGCAGACCTCATCTGTTCAGACCGAGTACCCATCCTTCCCACCGCCAGCTCACCCCTGGGGAGGAGAGAACGTCCAAACCTCTAGCACAGTCTGTAGGGGTTTATTTGAGCCCAGACGAGACAGTTACCAGGAAGCCACATCTCGGAGGCTCCAGAGGGGTTTCACTTCTCCCTGCCCTGGTGGTTGAGGAGGGGCTGTGGCGCCGCTGCAGGGAGCTGAGGGACCAGTCACGGGGCTCTCCCGCGGTGGTTTCCCTGGAGGGGACCCGAAAGCAGTGTGTTCCTCGGATGCTCGGGACGATGGACAGGGCCGGCTTATGGCACGAGTCAGGGCCTTACTGCAGTGAGTCTCGTCCGCCCGCCGTCACCTGCCCGCTGGGAGCGTGCGATCAGCTCACCGTGAGCTTACGTTCCCTAGAACCCCTTTTCCAGCCGCACCCCCACCCGGTTCCCCTTGGTTCTCCCCAGCTGAGTGAGCTCAGGGAAAACACCATCCTCCCCGTCACCCAGGCCAAAGCTCGAGTCACGCCCGATTCCTGTTTCCTGTCCCTCGTACAGTCCTGCGACATCTTGTCTATTCAAAATCAGAGTATCTCGCGAATTCCTCCACATCTTCCCCCTCCACCGGGACACCTCAGCCTGAACCCCCACATCCAGCACCTGGCCTTGTCCCGGAGCCGCTGGGCTGGTCTCCCTGCGGCTGGTCACAAGCAGCTGGACTGAGCCTGGTCAAACCCAGGTCGGGTCATGTTTCTGTTCTGCCGGAAACCCCTAGGATTTCACGCAGATCAAACAAAACCCTTCCTTGGTCTGCCTTGGTCCCTGGCTCGTGTGGGGACCCAGCTTGGATGCCACGGGCTGGAGCACTGGAGGGACCATCTCCCGCCAGGACCCGGCTCCCCCAGACCCTCCTGTCCAGAGATGCCACCCTCTGCACCTGTTGCCCCCACCCCGAAGCCTCTCCCTCGTTTTGCTCAATCACTTCCTGCTTCATACTTGCACAATGACATTTGCTTATCGTCCTTTGTCCCCACCACATGGACCTCTGCCTAGAAGCTGAGGAGGGTCTGGGCTGTAGGAGGAGGAGATGCCCGGAGGGGCTGTGGAGGGCTCTGAGCTGGAGGAGGTAGCCTGGCGGGCGGGCAGCTGAGATCACCTCGGGACAGTGGAAGTGGGACGTGGGGACTGGAGTAGGGTTGGCTGCAGGTCTGTGGGCCAGGTGGGTGCGGTGACCACCTGTGACTCTCCCTGGCTGTCCAGAGCGGGTGTGGGCCCCTGCCAGCCTCCCCACCAGGGTTTGTTGGCCTTCCACTCACTGCCTGGTGGTCCTGGGCTGGACGGGCTCACGGAGGTGCCCTCCTGCCCTGGCCCTTCCAGCTCCTCAACAGGCATTCACGGGCATCACGGGCATCTCGGGCTGGGTAGACAGGCCCCCCACATGCTGCTTCCAGTCGGTGGTGTGGGCAGGAACAGTGCAGGGGAGACTGCTTTGGAGAGCCGAGGCTCTGGAGAAGGCCCGCCGGAGAGGGGCAGGGTGGCCGCCGGAGAGGGGCAGGGTGGCCGCCGGAGAGGGGCAGGGTGGCCGCCGCAGCACCTGGGCGAGCTGGGTGCTGACCCCCGTGGGCGCTAACCCCCACGGCGCTGACCCCCGTGGGCGCTAACCCCCACGGCGCTGACCCTCGTGGGCGCTGACTCCTGCGGGTGCTGACCCCCGTGGGCGCTGATCCCCGTGGGCGCTGACTCCCGCGGGCGCTGATCCCCGTGGGCGCTGATCCCCGTGGGCACTGACTCCCACGGCACCGACCCTCGTGGGTGCTGACTCCCACGGGTGCTGACTCCCGTGGGCGCTGACTCCCGTGGGTGCTGACCCCCGTGGGTGCTGACTCCCGTGGGCGCTGACTCCCGTGGGCGCTGACCCCCGTGGGCGCTGACCCCCGTGGGCGCTGATTCCCACTGTGCTCCCTTGCAGATCGGATCAACATCAAGAGGAAGGGGGCGTGGCCCTCCACCCTCCTGTCTGTGCAGCACGTCATCGACTGCGCGGAGGCTGGCTCGTGCGAGGGGGGCAATGACCTGGAGGTGTGGTCCTACGCCCACAAGCACGGCATCCCCGACGAGACCTGCAACAACTACCAGGCCAAGGACCAGGGTAGGCCCCGTCTGCCCTGCCTCCCTCTTCCCAGGGAAAAGGTGGCCTGAGCCAGCCGATCCGGGCTCCTCACTCTGGTTGGGGCACCAAGGGAGGCTTGAACCTGTGGGTTTGGGGGAGCAGGGAGCTGGATGGAGCCCACAGTCCTTGTTAAGACCCCCAGAAAAGACCTGGCGAGGGGTGTCTCCAGCCTTGTGTCCCTGGGGCTGGCGGTGGTTTGGGGTTCTGACGTGTTGGCTTCTTGGTGGTTTCATGGGCCTTTGTGAGGCACAGGTGGCCATTACCCAGGGACAAGGAAGGTTTCCGGGAACCGGGTGCGGAGCGCAGGCCCAACTGGAAGAACTTGGCTTTGGCCCAGTTCCCACCCCAGACCCTGGGCCGTGTGCATTCAGGTGGATCTGGAGCCCGGGGGCCCTGCCTGCACCAGCAGACCTCAGCTGGCCCCGAGTCCCCTGGAGTTGGCACGCTCCTTGCAGGCGGCTCCCCTTGGAAAGGTCTGAGCCCCAAGCCCAGGGTTGGCAGTGTTGTCACCTGCCTGTCGGAGCGCCCTCGCGGCTGGACCAGAGCTGGGACCATTCCAAGGCTCTGAGACGGGAAGGGGGGCCCAGGTGCTTTCCCACCCCCGCCCTCGTGCCCGCTGAAGCACACCGGGGAGGCAGGCAGGCACCGTGCCACACGCCGGGCCCTCGGCTTGCCGCCCGGGCCACAGTGCCCAGCCACACAGAATCCCCCGGACTGGTTGGGTGAGTCTCGCTGGTGGTAAAGGCACCAGGTGTCGGAGAGCCCGAGAGGGACCGATGAAGGGAGGAGGGAGTGACCGCGAGGAGCCAGGGACCAGGCGTGCCCTGGGGCCTCCCCGGCCTGCTCAGCCCCGAACCGGTCTCGTCCAGCCCAGGCCAGGCCCCTGTGACCTACCTAGCGTGACGGGCGGACGGGACTCCTCAGGAACCTGACTTGGCAGTAAATAGCCTTGGTGACCAAAGGACACACCAAGCCAGTTTCATCCTTAAGGAGTCTCATGTCCTGGACAGATAAGAGACCATAACAGCCATATAGGTGACACGGGAGCCGCCTAATTCTTAATGTCACCTCAAACCAAAAGAATCAAAAAACGTTATTTTTTCCAAATGATTGGCCTCTTCTCCAGCCAGCAGTAGTCATCTTAAGAGCCAATCACTGGCCCTGGCCGGTTTGGCTCAGCGGTTAGAGCGTCGGCCTGCGGTCCGGAGAGACCCGGGTTCGGTTACCGCTAAGGGCATGTCCCTCGGTTGCAGTTTGTCCCCGGCCCTGGTCGGTTGTGCGGGTGGCAGCCACTCGATGTGTCCCTTTCACATCGATGTTTCTCTCTCTCTCTCTGTTCCTCTCTCTCCCTCCCACTCTACCTGAACAAAAAATGGAAAAATGTCCTCGGATGAGGATAAAAAAAAAAAGAGCCAATCACTGGACCACACTCTTCAGCTGTGGCGTATTGGGGGCGGGGCTTCTCGGGCCTTTAAAGGAGAAGGAAGCGAGGCTGTGTTGAGCGCCTACTGCGTGCTGGGGGTGGGTGTTCTTGGCCAAGGCTCGGGCCAGAGCCTGTCCTGACTCCCGTGCAGCTGCAGGAGCGCCTGGCGGTGAGGTGACCTCGGTCAGTGAGCCGGGGGCTTGGGTCTGGGTGCCCACGCAGCGGGTTCCTGAGGCCTCACGTCGACTCTGCCCCCAGAGTGTGACAAGTTCAACCAGTGCGGCACGTGCACGGAGTTCAAGGAGTGCCAGCCCATCCAGAACTACACCCTCTGGAAGGTGGGCGACTACGGCCGGGTCTCGGGGAGGGCGAAGATGATGGCAGAGATCTACGCCAACGGCCCCATCAGGTGAGCGGGGCTGGCTGCGGGGCAGCCCCGGGCCGCGTCGCGGGCTGGGGGCCAGACACCAGGCCCTCAGCTGCCCGGCGTCCTCGGTTGACTTCCTCCTTGATTCACACCTGAAGCACGACCCTGTGCCCGCTCCCCCGCAGCTGCGGGATAATGGCCACAGAAAAGATGGTGAACTACACCGGAGGCATCTACACGGAGTACCAGGAGCAGAGCTACATTAACCACATCGTTTCCGTGGCCGGCTGGGGCGTCAGCGAGGGGGCCGAGTACTGGATCGTCCGGAACTCCTGGGGTGAACCATGGGTAAGGTGTTCCCACAGAAACTCCCCTGCGGCTTTGTGGCTAGGGGCTCTGGCCGAGCAGGCACGTGATGTGGGGTGACTGTGAGCTGTGGGGGGGCCATTCAGCAGCCCCTGGGCCCGTCCTCCAGGTGCCAGTAGCAGTGACCACCAGGCCATCTCCAGGCGTGGCGGGGTCCCTGGGGGATGGGTGGTGGTGGGCACAGGGGAAGTGCAGGGCAGCTCACTGACCCCTCGCGGCCCGCTCACCCTGCCCGTCGGTCCTGGCTCCGCTCAGCAGTCCTGTGTCACTTGCTCACACTTTTGGTTTGGGTCACACATCCAGGGGAGATAGACTGGCTGCCAGAATGTTCATTCTAAGACGTCGAATGACCCACAGACGGTGTAAGACACAGACACCCGTGGTTATGGAGTGGGGGCAGGGACCCCTGTCAAAGTGACGAGGTGCCAGGCCTCTGCAGGAGGAATCAGTAGGCAGTTCAGTCATCTGGGCCACAGCATCCACGTTTGGTTCTGTGAGTTCGCTTTGGCAGGCAGGGCCGTGCCCCCCTCAGGTTAAGTATTACTGACCGGAAGATTCCCCAGGGGCATTGCAAGCAGGGTCCTGCCTGGAAGGGGTGCAGTGGGCAGTGGCGGGCGGTCTGCATGCTGGGGGCTCGGCCCAGGGGCTGACCGAGCTCCCGCTGTCGCAGGGCGAGCGTGGCTGGATGCGGATCGTGACCAGCACCTACAGAGGCGGGAAGGGCGCGGAGTACAACCTTGCTATCGAGAACAGCTGCTCCTTCGGGGACGTCGTCGTTTGAGGCAGAGGTCTCACGGGAGCAGCTCTTGAGGCAGCATCATGAACCATGACCAGAGGGGCCCTGGGGGGTGGGGGGACACTGCCGTGGTTTGGAGGATCTGGGGGCTGCCCACGAAGCCGCACTGCTGTCCGGCCGGCGAGGGCTGAACACCGAGGGCGCCCGTCTTGAGGACGGACGGACTCGGTCCTGGCCGAGCACATCCCCGGGCAGAGTCCCAGGACGCAGACACCAGCGCAGGGCGGGTCCCCTGCAGGACTGGAGGGAGCCTCGACCTGCACAAGATGTGATCGCAAGACATCCACCATGTCGCCTCCACTCTCTCCGACTGACGGCTTGGTATTTCCTTGGCAACTGTGGTCTGTGATGTGAACCTACCACCATTCTTTTGTCACCTTGGGAGGAGGGGGGGGGAGGGGACGGCAGTTTCAAGCTGCCCAGGTGATGAATAAAACCCGGGACTTCACCAGAGGACGGAGCCTGAGCGTGCCTTCTTCACACGACAGCCACACACAGACAGACACGGGCCACTCTTTCCAACCCAGTGGGAAGGTTTTATTGGTTCTTGGGAAATTAAAACAATGAAATAAAAGAACTCATCGGGTTCTCGTGAGCAAACGTAAGTCAGCTTGGCGAGCAGTCATTTAGTGTCCGTTCCGAATTCCCCCCACCGCGGGCGGGACGGGAGCCCAGCCCACAGGGGGAGGACTAAGTGGGCTGCCCAGCAGGCACGGCGCGGGCCAGCCTTCCACTGACCCTGCGGGCAGCCTCCCTTCACAAAGCCTCCATCCCCTCCCGAGAACGTTCCTTCAGTCTAGAAGGCGCACTCCATCCTGGTCTGGAATGTTCTGCCCGGCTCCGGAGTGGTCAGTTCACCAGGATGAAGTTGGACTTGCAGTGAGCTGGAACAGACGGGGGGACAGGCAGTCACAAGCTAGAAGGGGGAGGTTAGAAACCACACCTACACCGCAGCGGAGGGACGCGCCCAGCCCACCTATAAACTCCGTCACGGGGTCGTGTTCGCCCTCCGTCTTGATGGTGCCCGCGATGCTGTCATTCTCCAGGATGGGCAGGAAGAGCTGCACGAAGTCAGAGGTGTAGGGAGGGGCGATGACGTCCAGCACCTGGGAGGAGACAGCAGGTCACGCCTCCCGCACGCCCGCGAGCAGCGTGGCGCCAGGGCTGCTGCACTGCCGTCCAGTCTGGAGCAACCCCAGCGCGCCCCGCAACAGAGGCAGTGCCCAGCACTGGGCCCGGGGAGGAGCGGGCTCAGCAGTGCAGCAGGTCGGGGGCTGGGAGACTGGCACCCATGTCACCAGCACCGGCACAGCTATCAGAGCAGTTCTCGGGTTAGGGACAAATGCACTCAGTCAAACCGAAGGGCACTGTAAGGTACAAAACGTGAAACAAATGACGTGTTGCTGACCTCGGTTACAAAATAGCGAATGAGTGAAATGTCAGTGTCCAGCTTCTCCAGACACTTTCGGATGTAACTGACAACAGGAAGTACGTAACCTCGACTCAGCAGGTGCACCATCCTGTCCAGCAGGGTCTTCTTCAACTCAAGCTGCAAGAGGGGACAGAGTGAGAGAGGGCCCGCTGCCGGCCGCCCCGCAGACCCCAGAGGGGGCCCGCTCCCGGCCGCCCCGCAGACCCCAGAGGGGGCCCGCTCCCGGCCGCCCCGCAGACCCCAGAGGGGGCCCGCTGCCGGCCGCCCCGCAGACCCCAGAGGGGGCCCGCTCCCGGCCGCCCCGCAGACCCCAGAGGGGGCCCGCTGCCGGCCGCCCCGCAGACCCCAGAGGGGGCCCGCTGCCGGCCGCCCCGCAGACCCTGCCGCTCACCTGCTCCATTACGTCCAGCTGGGAGTGCTCCGTCTCAAAGAGCTTCACGAGCAGCTGCAGGACCTGGGGGTGCAGGAGCTGGTGGCAGGTGCTGATCTGCAAAAAAGCCAAGAAACCTGCTGAGCTCAAAGGGTGGCCCGGGCTCCTCGCCAGCAACAAAGAGCACTGCCACGGCCAGCAGACGGCTCACCCTGGCAGCAGTGCCCTGCGCTGCCCGGGCCGGTGCTGCACTGATAAATCTCAGCCAGCCAGTCAATGAAACAAGGTCCTCAAAAGAAAATCCTCTTTTAGAATAAGAATAACTCGCTTTGATGACAGTATCTCCAGTCACTGGTGTGCTGGACACAGGCACAGACAGCGCGGCAGGTCCTTGAATGTGTCCGACGGCACCGTCCCCTAAGAGCTGGTGGGAGGCACCGCTCTGGTTTCTGTGCATTAGCCTCCAGCCTGCTCGTTCCCTCCGAGTGGCAGCACCCACACGGTGGGCGTTAGCCGGCGTGGCCCCGGCCTACCTCATCCAGCAGCGCCAGGTGCACCGGGGTGTGGTCCGTCTGCAGCTGGAAGTACCGCGGCTCTGACACGGTCCAGTCCACCCACTTCAGCACGCCCATCGCCACCACTGGGAACCTGCCGGCAGGAAGGCACGGAGCTCCTTCAACGTCTTTCCGAAAACAGACGCCAAAACCAGACAAGGTCAGTCTACCCATCAATTCTTCACACGCTCTGCACGGAGATGCCCATCCGTGAGGGAGGAGACTGCGCGTCCTGCCGTGCGGTGAGGAAGCGCATCAGCCTTGGGCTCCTTGACCCTCCTCCGTGCCTGACGGCCGGCATCCCTGCAAACCCAGGGCAGCGGCGGCGGGCTGAGGTCCATGTTCCTTAGCAAACCCTCTCCCTGTCCTATAGCACAGGCTAACGGGAGAGATTCAAGTGCCCAAGAGAACACCGTTTGGAAGCTCTTCTAGTGAATTCTTACAGACATGACTGGCATAAATGTTGGTCTAACTTTGACTGTAAATAGACCCTCCTCTCCAAGTCAATTTTCATAACTCTGGCTGGCCTTCCTTGGTGTAGTTTAATTCATGAACAAACAGACTTCTGCTGAGGACCACCTGAAAATTACGCAGCTAAAACACCTTCAAGTTCTCTATATACACGCCAACAAAAAATACGTAAGATAAGTCTCTCTCAAGCTCCTGGGGGTTTTTGAGCCTTTCCTAGGAAAGCCAGGCTGCCTCCCCACCGGAGGACGGAGCTGAGGGCGAGGTGCTGTCGGCTCACCGAATGCACTGGTAGAGAGTGCTCAGCTCGGCCACCAGCTCAGAGGCCCCTTTGTTCTCGTTGCAGCACAGGCTGTGGACGGTCTCAATCGCCTTGGAGGTCGACTTCAGCTCATCCTTGTTGATGTTCACCCGCTTGTTCTGAAAAGACACCCCAGGCGTGAGCTGCATGGAGCACATGTCCAGCAGCTGGGGCGACCTGCTAGGAGCCCCTTCTCCCTGCGGACCCTCTCCCTCCTCTGAAGCCAGGGGTCCATGTAACTGTCACTCCCAGCCCCACAGCAGAGCGTGCAAACCAAGGGGACTGGTGTGTGCGGCTCAGGACAAAGGTCTCCTTGAGTCACAAACTTCGAGCTATAGTTTGAAGAAGGAGCAGAGATGTTCTGCACACCTTCCTGAGGCTTTTTTAGCACTGGTATGAATACACTAGACAAGACATTTCTGACACCAGACGGGCTCAGGATTTCTTTCGGCCAGAATTCCCAACGGGGAGGGGGGTGCTCGTGCCCCCGGCAGCACCTTCTTCCAGGTCTCCACCACGCTGGCCGCGTACGCCAGGATGTGGATGTACTTGTGCTTGTGGTCCTGGTTGATCCTGGCGCCGGGTTTGAAGAGCGACTGCATGAACAGGTCCAGGAAGGCCGGCACCCGGATCTGCAGGGAACACACGGCGTTGGGCCGGCAGGAGAGGCAGCAGGCAGGTCCATGCGCGCCCAGGGCAGCGGGGCCCGTGTGTGTGGGTGTGTGGGCTCCAAGGTGTGTGGGCTCCATGGGCATGGGGAAGCCAGCCAGAGCAAAAGAACATGTCAATGGGAATTTGTACCCAGACTTTCCAAAATCACCCTTCCAGTCGGCACTGGGGGTGTCCTGCTCCGCGGCAGAAAGGAAAAGCCACTTACGAGCTCAACAGGAGGCGGGTCCATGCTTGTGAACATCTTGAACAGGACTGTGATGTCGGCTGGGTTCAGGGCTCCTTTGGACAGCATGGCCCCGAGGGCCTGGCAAGCCCGAGGGTACGAGGCGGCCGTGCCTAGCGCCAGCGTGATCTGACTGGCATCGTGGCCTCTTGATGAAAACAATGATACATCCCACTGTTAATAAGGTGCAACAGATCGTTAATAACCCCTCCCTCCCCTTTCTCATTTAATGTTTTGACAGGTTTTTCCTATCTCTGCCTTTCACCGGTCCTCTGACTGACCCACGCAAACACGTGGAGCTCGTGGGGAAGGAGAGTTCCCACACAGCTCGCAGACTTCCCAAAAGGAGCTGCACCCCTCCTGCCCACCGTGTCAGGATGCTCGCGCAGAACTCAGACCAGAGCTCATCTTGCTCTGCAGCATGGGCCACTACAGTCGGACTAACACACAGCCATTTCCAGACCAGTCTGATTTGCTGCCGATAAACCCAGCTCATGAAAACACAGGCCCGCCCACCCCGGAGCTGAAGGGGCGTCGAGCACTTCAACTGCCCGCTGAGCGGCGCTCCAGGAAGCCAGCCCTCGGCACGCAGCCCGGCCACCCGCCTCCGCAGAGGCCCCCAGTCTGCGGTTATGGAAGCAGGGCACGGGGGCCTGGGGGGCACCAAGCGAGACGAGGGGAGCACAAACACTGGCTCACTTCTCCTGGGCGAAGCGCTGGACCTCCTGGGCGATCCTGCGCACCGCGGAGCCCCCCTGCTCCTCCTGGGCCAGCACGGACATCATGGCCTGGGCGAACAGGTACGTGTGCTCCCCGTGGCACACCATCTTCTGGAAAACGGATGGAGCACGTGGAGCACCGGGCGGCAGAGAGCAGGCGCCCTCGGCTCTCGGCTCTCCTGCAGGAAGTCCCCTTGGAGGGAGCTCCACCCGGATGTCTCCAGAGGAAAGGAGTGTTTCACACTGAAGAGGCTCCACCCAACTGCCTCCTTCCAATCTGGGATCAAAAGAACTTACGGCAAACTCGGGAAGATTTTTTTCAAGGTTTTCTTCTCCTCCGTCCAAAATCGTAGCCAGAGAGGTACGAAGTACTCTAGAGAACACCTCCAGCTGCTGGCAAGCTGTGGACACGCTGGTGATCTCCCCTTGGTACCCCGCATCGGAAATGAGCTACGGCATACAAAGCAGCAGCGCAACAGTGTCAACAAGGGGTGAGCACACGTGCACATGCACAGGACACTGGCCGCGTGTCATGGTGAGAGGCCAGGAGGCACTGGTCTGGGGCTCACACCTTTCCTCTGCCCCCGCGCCCCCACTGGGCTTGAGGCCGGCTCCCCCGGCTCGGGTTCCCTGTGAGTGAGATGGAGCAGACAGACCAGCATTCCTCAAGGCCCCTCTCGGGACACAACGCACTCCATAAAATGTCCCTACCAAATCCGAAAAACACCAGACATGCTGATCCAAAAGCACACACACAAATTCTTTCTCGGCGTGAGGCATGCTGAAGTGAAGATGAGGAGTTCAGCAAAAAAGCCAATGTGGTCCTTCAAAGGAGAAAGACCAGCCACCCCCGACCGACCAGAACCGCCACCGCTCACAAACACTTGTCTTTTCCCTGACTGGCCTCTCCTACCTTAACAGTGAAGTTAAGCATCAAACAGTCTGGATGGGCTTCGGCCAGTTTGTAGAAAAGATCTCTCCATGTGGTGTGCGCGATCATTTGTTCGAGCCAAGCGGGGGTCTGTCAACAGACAGACAGAAGGACAGTGAGAGACGAGGCCGTGTCGGCGTCAGTGCAGACGGCTGTTGAACAGTCACAGGACCGCGCAGGTGTGAGCAGAGCCCTGGGAGCACCGGAGGGGCCGCAGCCGAGCTGCTGCCGCCACAGGGCAGCGGAGGCCCCCGGAGGCCCAGGACTGCAGTAGCGCGGGCACAGGAGCAGCGCGCCCCGCGGCGACCGCCTACTGCGTCGGCTGTGCGCCTGAGCACACAGAGGGCAGGCCACTGAGACAGCGCCGGTGGCTCTGCCGTCGCCCGTGACGCGCCATGCTGAGGGGACTCAGCTCTCCCCTGCGTGGCTGCGGCGCTGCACTGAGCCCTCCAGCCCTCCGTGCCAAGGCTCCCCACAGGCTGCTCCGGGACACTGGCTGCGGGTGGCAGGGCTCCAGGGGCTCCAGTGAGAGGCACTGCGGTTTGCAGACTGTGCGATGCCACGGCTGAAACTTTCTGACAATCGCACTGTCATCTGGGCCCCTCCCACCCGCGTCCTTTCCACTCGCCTTTGGGGACCAGACAAGCATCACAGATCCCGTGGCCCCCTCCAGCCATCTCCCTCCCAGACCTCCTGCACACGGCCCACCACTGCCCATCCCCCTCCCAGGTGTCCTCCCAGACCTCCTGCACACGGCCCCGCCCGGCACCTGCTCTTCGGAGGATACCCACCCCACCCGAAGGGCCTGTGCCCCGAGTCAGCACGAAACGGGACGTGCGACTCTGCGGTGCCCCCTCTGGAGCTGGCACCTGTGTGCCTCCCCTCACTAGACCAAGTGTGCATCTAAAGGGCGGCCCCGGCTCGATGCACTTGTCTCACACCACCTCTTACATTTCTCACAGAACATACCACGCTCCACTTACACACGGAATTAGCAAAAGACCCTAGGAACTAGTATCGGAAGAAGAAAAGACCCCTCACCTCTCCTTCTTCAGTAAAAATAGAGTCTGCTTTCCGGGGGTCAAAGTGTTTGATCAGTAAGCTCTTCAGGTGATTCTCCACGGTCTCCTGCACCTGCGCAGGCTCAGCACCTGCAGGAGGGAGGCAACGTCTCAATTGCTGTGTGGCTTCAGGAAAGTAGACAGGTCCGGCCTATGCGTGAACCAAAGATCACAGAACTGCTTCTGACAACTGAGGATTTGGGGCCTCTTCTAAAAATTCCTACTTATTAATCATATTCAATGGCAAGAACCAAAAGGAGCAAAGCAGAATCAAGAACGTTCTAACCTTGTCTACATGGACGGGACAACTTCAAACTCGCTAAACAAGGACTAATGACCAAAAGAGACAGGCAGGAGGCTGGAAAGGCAGAGACCTGCACAGGAGGAGAGAGCGGGTGCCAGCCAGGGGACACTCATGTCTCATCACTGTGACTGCCATGCGTGGACTCATTTCCAGAAAGTACTCAGTGACTGCCTGCCGGGCTCCACTCTGACCACACTCGCTGAAAGCACAACCATCCTTGCCCTGAACTGTCCATCGTCGGCTCGCCCAGACCTCTCCCAATGGCACCAGCACACACGGCCGTCCTGTCGTTCCTCAGCACGCAGGGAGGGCCCCGCCCACGAGCCACCTCAGCACGCAGGGAGGGCCGCCCCGCCCACGAGCCACCTCGGCGGGCCGTCTGGGGCCTCGGCTACTGGATCACAAAGAAGAGTCAGGCAGAGCCCTGGCCGGTTTTGCTCAGTGGTTAGAGCATCAGCCTGTGGTCCAGAGACCCGGGTTCGGTTCCCGCTAAGGGCATGTACCTCGGTTGTAGTTTGTCCCCAGCCCTGGTTGGTCGTGTGGGTGGCAGCCACTGGTGTCCCTTTCACATCGATGTTTCTCTCTCTCTCTCTCTCTCTCTCCCCCTCCCACTCTATCTGAACAAAAAATGTCCTCAGGTGAAGATTAAAAAAAAAAAGAATCAGGCAGACAGGAAAGAAGTTCAGTTCTGACTCCCTTAAGTCTTACAATCGGGAACAAAGCAGCTTGCCAATTTATCGGCACTATAATGATCCAAAAAAAGAGGGCAGGGGGTGATGAGCAGCCAGGACAAGGGGCCACCCGCAAAGCACCTGTCTGAATGAGCCACTCGGCCAGCAGGTTGACAGTCTGGGCCACAGCGGTGTAGTTTTCGGACAAGAGCTGGATCACGTTCTCTGGAGACCCTCCTGCCTGAAAATACCTAGAAAAAGTAACAAACAGTCTCATACTAACATGAATATAGACAGGATGGGGATGGATGACAGCAGGGAGGTAGTAAGGAGGAAGACAGGTTATTAAGCTTTTTAAGTATGGAGGGGACCCCTAGAAGCCTTCCATTCCAATAACACATTATCCTTACTTTACGGGTCATCTTCCAGGTCTGTTACCTTCTCTAGATTACCGCCCCCCCCCCCCCATGCAAACCACCTCTTGAGGGTGTTGAAGATGGAGGGCTCCATGATGTAGTCCCGGGTGGCGAACTTGTGGAGGCACTCCTGCTGCACCTCTGCGTCGTCCTCTCCTTCTCCAAACTCGTCCTCCTGCTGGTGAGCAGTCCTCGTCACGACGACGCTCCTGGGTCCACTGAACGCCTCACACTGTCCCTCCCAAGTGTTCCACATGCATCACGACATGTGACCCCATGAGACTCTCATGGGGCGGCTGGACAGTGCTGAGTGGCTAAGAAAACGGGATCCAGAGCCACACCCAGTGGGTCTGTCTTGGACTCCACCGTGGAGAACCTGTGTCACACAAGCCACCTCACTTCCCTGTTGAACGCAGGACGTCACAGCACTACTCCCTCCGGGCTGTTGTGAGGAGCCCACGAGCTAACCTCTGGAAGACCCAAGCACAGGACCTGACATTTAGTAAGAGTTCAACAGACAGTCACTAGTACTGTTTTCCTACTGTTGTTTTGTATGTGCCATTTCACGCTTTCCTATTGGTCAGCGCAGTGATTCCTGAAGGCACACACCACCACCCTGCTGTTGGAAAGCAAAGACCACTGACTGGCTTCGAATCAGCAGGCCTGGCTGGATTCCAGTCCCCACTCTGCAGGGAAAGGACCTTAAGCCCATTACTGAATCCAAGGACAAAGCAGGACGAGGACATGATGAACATGGACCGAATGACCCCCGGGTCTGTCCAGCTTTCACGCCGTCGTCCTCATTAACAAGCATGTGCTTTCTCAATACTAACTATGCACCGAGCACTGTGCTTATACCCAGGACACTTAGGAAAACAGAAGACAAGGTATGTCTCTTTCCACCAACGGTTCAGACTAGTCGCAGAGACCACCCTCCATGCAACTGACTCTAAGGTAGAGCAATAGCTGGGCCAGGGCTCGGCGAACTGTGGCCCACAGCCAAATCTAGCCTCCTCTTGTTTTTGAAAATAAAATTGTATTAGAACAACAGCCACCCCCATTTTTTAACAATGTAGTGACTACTTTCCCCCTAGAACAGCAGGGTTGAGTAGCTGTGACAGAGACCCGTGCAGCCTAAAATACTGACCACCTGGGCGTTAACAGAAAGTCAGCCCTAGAAGCTCCAGCGGCGCGGTTAGCGCACGGTACTTATAGGACAGAAAAGCCAGCCCACCCCAGTGGAGACCAGGGAGTCCCCTCTGAGACCATGTCTGATGGGAAACCAGGAACCAGGCTGTGAAGGAAGACAGGATTCGCCCTGAGGCTCCTCCTCATGTCTGAGTCTTGGGCTTCACCCTGGACCCTCTTCCCGCCTCCTCCATCTTCTGTCCGGCCTTGCCACCTCCCCGCACTTAAGTCTAGAATTGAGCCTGGGTCAACTGACTGATGGATGGATATCTCTTCTTCCTCCAGACTCAAGTGTTCAAGTCTATTCTCATTTCCGTGCAGATGCCCCACAGTATTCCAAACTCATTCGATCTCAAACTGACCTCACCTTTTCCCTCTACACAGATCTTTTCCCTACAACCTATACTTTAGTAGAGGACCCCATATGTACCTGTTACTCCAAACCCACAAACTTAGGCATCCTCCCCAATCTCTCCTCCCTCCCTCTGCCCCACAGCCTGGTCCCAGAGACCGTCAGTCCCCTCCCTGGCTGGCCAGTCCCGTGGGGCCCTGCTCCCCGTCCTTCCCTCCTGCTCTGTGCTGCCCCAGGAGCAACCTGCGCCTCATGGTTCTGCCTCCTCCTGCCTCTTGATCACTTCACAGGGATGCACAGGCATCTTTACCTTAATTACTATTTTTTAATCCTCACCCAAGATATGTTTTATTATTATTATTACTGGTTCTAGAGAGAGGGAGGAGGAGCGAGAGCGCAACATTGATGGGCTGCCTCTCGTATGCACCGCCACATGAGATCAAATCTCCAACCTGAGTATGTGCCCTGACAGCAATCAAACCTCCAACCTTTGGGTGTACTTTTGGCTCCAACCAGCTGAGCCACCTGCCAGGGCCCCAGCCATCTTCATAAGCCGCCACTGACGGGTCTTGGTCAGAGGACACATCACCCTGGAGCCCTGGAGCGTGACCTCCACCCTCCAGTGGCTCACCTGGCCCGTCTCCCCTCTCGCCACCCTGATGGGCCACCTCCAGCCAGACCAAAGGCCCGCATTTCAGTAGCCCTTAGCTTCCACCTCCTGGGCTTCACCACACCTTGCAAACACGGCCCCCAGGGCTCAGGATTTGGGTCACAAAAAGGGGCCTGGCAAGCCCTTCCCGAGCTCGGCCATGCCACCCCCCACCACCTCCCTTGACCGTGGGAAGTCACCTGGCCCGCCCCTCGCACCGGTGAAGCCCTGGGGGTCGGGGCAGCCCTGGGGTCGTGGCCAGGGCCCTGGGGTCGTGGCCACGGCCCTGGGGTCAGCGGGGCACGGGCCGGCTCTGCCCTGCCTCCTGCGCAAGCGCGGAGAGCCGTCCACACGCGAGGGCCCGGGCCGGTGGCCCCGGAGCGCCGGGCTCTCGGCCCCCAGGGCGCCACGTGACTAGCGCTGTGGCATCCTGGACCGGGTGCTCCCAACACCGAACCAGCGCCAAGTTCGGCTCCTCGGACCACGTGGGTGACGGGCAGCTTGATAAGTGTCAGTGGCGACCAAGGACCTGGGGGCACTGAGCCAGGTCAGAGGTCGGCGAGTCTCCGGGAGTCAGGCTGGGACCCGCCCCCCGCACCCGCTCGCCGCCTGGGCAGCGGGGCCCACACGCGCCTGCGCAACGCCGGCGGCCGGGCGTGAGGGGCGGGCCCCGCCGGGGTGGGCGGGGGCGGGCCGGCGCGCGCCGCGTCTGCACCGCTCGGTGGCCGCGGGGCCTGCGCGGCGGGGCGGGCCCCCGGCCCCCCCTTACCTGGCCGCCGTCCGCCTCGTCGCCGCACTGGGCCGCGCTCCCGAAGTAGTCCTCGTCCATGATGGCGCCCGGCGCGTTCCCCGCCATCCTCTCCCGCGAGCAAGCGCGCGAATGCGGCGCAGGCGCACGGCGGGGCGGAGAGCGCGCGCGCGGCCCCGCCCCCCGCGTGCCTCTGCCCAAGCAGGAGGCTGGGGCGGGGCGGGGCCACGACGGGTGGGCGGGGCCCGCAGGGAGGGGCGGAGCCCGAGAACTGCCCCAGGCGCGTCGATCCAGGTGCCAAGGGCCCGGCCCGAGCTGGGCGCGGTGCGGGCCGCGGGAACTTCCTGGATTGACTCTGGAGCGCAGCCTGGGTAGCAGTTTCCAGCTAGACTCGTGCTTGGCCTGGGTTCGCGGTCCCTCCGCTTGTTCCCTGCGACGTTCAGTCCTGAGATACCCGTTTTCTCGCCGGACGACGGGCCGACAGAGCAGACGCAGTGCCTACGGCCCAGAAAAATGTTCTAATTGTTTTTTTTAATCCGAACAATAACTGCGGTAACGATGAGTCCAGCCTGGATTATATCAGTGTATGTGTGACTGTATAAAGGACGAGTGCAGTGTAATATGTAGTTTTTAATACTTCTTTAGGAAGGAAGAGCCCACGAAGGCCCAGGTGCCTGGGGCCCACCAATGTCATAACGCAGCGCTGGGAAGGGGGCCTGGCCGTGCGGTGGCTGCTGAGCAAACCTGAGCTGACGCTTCCCAAGCTGTCTGCGGTTCCCAGCACGCAGGAGGAGGTCCGAAAGCAAGAGCCCGAAGACCGAGACGGAGAGTTCTGAACAGAGATGTTAACACCGTCTCATCTGGATGCTTTAAGAGCATTAGACAGGAGCGCTAGATACTGATAACAGCGAGGATTAACGGAGGGCTCACCTGGAAGGCACTCTTTCATCCCTGTAGCCATGCTTACCCAGCGCCCCTAAGTGCCTGGCTCCACGCCCCTCCTGGAGCTCACTGGTGAACGAAGTGGAGGTGGACCTGGTCCTGGGGGAGCCTACATTCTACCGATGACGGAGGGTGGCCAGGGCTGATGTTCTGTGGTAACAGGAGAGAGCCGCCTTGGGGGGTCAGAGGCAGCTCCTCTGATTCACATGGCAAAAGGAGCCCCATGACCTGGAGAGGAAATGTTAGGAGAGCGGCACTGCAACACAAAGGCCATTGAGCCCTGGCCGGTTTGGCTCAGCGGTTAGAGCGTCGGCCTGCGGACCAGAGAGTCCCGGGTTCAGTTCCCACTAAGGGCACGTACCTCCGTTGCAGTTTGTCCCTGGCCCTGGTTGGGCTCGTGTGGGTGGCAAGCAGTCTCTGTGTCTCTCTCACATCAATGTTTCTCTCTCTCTCTTTCCCCTTCTCTCCCTCCTGCTCTATCTGAAGATAAGTACAAAATGTCCTTGGATGAGGATAAAGAAAAAAAACAGCCATTGAGACTGGCACCTGGCAAGCCAGGGAGAAGAAGCCCAGACGGAGCGGGCGAGGCAGGCAGGGCCAGATCCTGGTGGGGAGTAAAGGCCAGAAGAAGGATCTAGAACTCTGAAGATGGAGCTTGCACACAGTAGGTGCTCAGTAAGTCTTAGTTACTATGACGAAGAAATGTTTGGGGGTTTTTCTGGTTTGCTTGCTTTGAGGAAGTGACAGGAGCATATCTGGGTTTTCGTTGCTGCGTCCCATAGCTGAAGGGGAGGCCTTAGGTTGGGGAGCTTGGAGGTAGGAACCCAAGTTACGTGGCCTCCGTGAGAGTTAACGGGCTGAGAAGGGGCTGGGGCAGCCATTGTGAAGTCGAGGTTCAGTCCAAAGGATGCGGCAGCCTTGCGGGGGACGTCACAGAGTGGGCCAGGGAGATGCTGAGACTCGCAGCCTGTGTGCCCGAGATGGCGCACCGAGGAGATGGGGAACCCAGGAGGAGAGCAGGTTTCTGCAAGGGACCATCATGACTTCAGATCGGGACACACAGAGTTGGAGGTGCCTTGGGAAGCCCCGGGCGGAGGTGTCTTGCAGGTGGCTGGAGGTGGAAGACTGTGCCTCCAGCTTCTGTTCATGATATGAAAGTGTACTGAGTTAATGAATGCCCCTGCTAATGGCTTGTTGCCGGGTTCATTTCAATGTGCTTTCTGAAGTGTTGCAAAGAAGGGATGGCTGTTAAGCTCCTACCTTCTCTCCTCTCGGATTTCCTTTTATAAAATAGTGCCTGGATTGAAAGCAGGCAAATTAATATATGTATAACTAATTGCTCTTACAGAAGCAGGGATTATTTAACTCACCTCTCCCTCAACCGAAAGGTGACTCATTAAACGGATTAACCAGCCATCCCTAGCGAAAGCATTCCATTCGGTCTGTAAGTCGAAATGGTTTAGCATGATTGGGTCTATAGCTCTCGCCTCCTGAGATAGTGCAGACTTTTTTTTGGAGAAGCCCATCTCAAGTGTCCAAATGAGCCTGCATTGCTTACAAATAAATATTCTAACGTCATTTAAGATGTTTTCCTGTGGAAGAAAAATTCTAGTGGAGAATTTCCATGGAAATGGCTTCATTGAACCCGCTCAAGGAGCACTCGCGGTGCCTCCCAGGTGCCGTGTGCTGGGACGTAGCTGTGAGCCACAGGCACAGTTCAGTGCTCACGTCGGAAGAGGGAAACGAGATTCAGGCTGAGACTTTCGGCTTGAACCTGGACCCACAGAGAATAGGGCCCCGTGGGGAGAAGAAAGATGTCAGCCAGAGAAAGTGGCTACAGGGCAGACATCGGGAAGGGTGGGGGTGGAGGGGGAGACAGCGCAGAGAGAGGCAGGAGCCAGGTGACCTAAAAACGTGCAAGCGGTGTGGACTTGATCCCCATGGGAACAAGTAGCCATTGAAAGCTTAGAAACACAAGAGCGACGTGATTAGAGGTAGGATTTCTAGAAGGGCGTTCTGGCTGCCATGGAGAAAGGACCCAAGGGGAGCAAAGCAGAGGTTGGGAGGCCAGTCAGATGCTGTTGACAAGACATCCAGGTGAGGCTGTTGGTAACGGGGATTGAGGCAGGCTTGAGGGTGAACTGAACACAGTTGGGAAAGGCTCAGGAGGCCAGACAGACGCAGTCCGAAGGGTCTTCCCCGGGGAGTGCATAGTAAACACCCCAGTATTTAAATCCTTCATCATCTGTTCATGCATCAACCTTCCTCCCTTCTGTATCCATCCTACCACCGAACAACACCGGCTGATGCCAACTTTTTTGTCACCTCCAAAAAGCACAACTCTGTCTCCTTTCCTTTTCTTTTTTTTTTTAAATCAGAAGTGTGAGTTTATTAATTGATTTTTGTTACAGATGTTTCTCCTTTTCCCCCCACTGATTCCCCCCTCCCCCCCTCCCTGCCCTGTCCCCAGTTTGTTGTCCATGTCCACTGTTCATGCATACATGCATATAAGTTCTGTGGTTTATCTCTCCCCCACCATCCCCTCTTCTGGGGATTGTCAGTCTGTACCCCACTTCCACGTCTCTGGGACTACCCCATTCCTCAGACTGTTATGTTCATTATATTCCACAGATGAGATCATATGATACTCATCTTTCTCTGTTTGGCTTGTTTCACTTAGGATGATACTTTCCAGGTCCCTCCATGTAGTCTCAAAGGATAAGAGATCTCTCTTACAGCTGCGTAGTACTGCATTGTGTATATGTACCACTGCTTTTTTATCCATTCGTCTACTGATGGACACTTGGGCTGTTTCCAGATCTTAGCTATTGTAAATAGTGCTACTACAAACATAGGGGTACATATATTCTTTCTGATTGGTGTTTCAGGCTTCTTAGGGTATATTCCTAGAAGTGGGATCACTGGGTCAAATGGAAATTAAATTTTTAATTTTTTGAGGTAACTCCATATTGTTTTCCATAGTGGCTGCACCAGTCTGCACTCCAACCAGCAGTGTACTAGAGTCCCCTTTTCTCCACACCCTCGACAACACTTGTTATTGATGATTTGTTGATGGCGGCCATTCTGACAGGTATGAGGTGATACCTCATTGTTGTTTTAATTTGCATCTCTCTGATGATTAGTGATGATGAGCATTTCTTCATATGTCTCTTAGCCATTTGTATGTCCTGTTTGGAGAGGTGTCTATTTAGTTCCTCTGCCCATTTTTTTAATTGGGTTCTTTGTCTTCCTTTTGTGGAGTTGTATGTGTTCATTTTCTCCTTTGTTTCTATTGCCTTAGGTGATGTATCAGTGAAAATTCTGCTGCGTATGATGTCTGAAATTTTGTTGCCTACAGTTTCCTCTAGGATTTTTATGGATTCATGAGTCACATTTAAGTCTTTTATCCATTTTGAGTTTATTCTTGTGTAGGGTGTAAGTTGATGGTGTAGTTTCATTTTTCTGCATGTAGCTGTCCAATTTTCCCAGTACCATTTATTAAAGAGGCTGTCCTTACTCCACTGTATGCTCTTGCCACCTTTGTCAAATATTAATTGAGCATATTGCCTTGGGTCCATTTCTGGGTTCTCTGTTCTGTTCCACTGGTCTATATGCCTGTTCTTGTGCCAGTACCAGGCTGTTTTGATTACGGTGGCTTTGTAGTATAACCTGAAATCTGGTAATGTGATTCCTCCAACTTTGTTCTTCCTTTTCAAGATTGCTGTGGCTATTCGGAGTCTTTTTTGGTTCCATATGAACTTTTGAAGTATTTGTTCTAGTTCTGTGAAGTATGCCGTTGGTATTTTGATGGGGATTGCATTGAATCTATAGATTGCTTTGGGTAATATGGACATTTTAATGATGTTAATTCTCCCAATCCATGAACAGGGTATGTGCTTCCACTTTTTTATATCTTCCTCTATTTCTTTTTTCAATGACCTGTAGTTTTCTGCGAATAGGTCCTTTATTTCTTTGGTTAAGTTTATTCCTAGATATCTTAATTTTTTTGCTGCAATAGTAAATGGGATTGTTTTCTTAGTTTCTCTTTCTGTGAGTTCATCGTTGGTGTATAAGAATGCCATCGATTTCTTGACGTTAATTTTGTATACTGCTACTTTGCCAGATTCATTTATCAAGTCTAGTAAATTTTTGATGGAGTCTTAGGGGTTTTCTACGTATAGTATCATGTCATCTGCGAATAATGACAGTTTCACTTCCTCCTTTCCAATTTGGATCCCTTTTATTTTTTCTTCCTGTCTGATTGCTGTGGCTAAGACTTCCAGTACTATGTTAAATAAGAGTGGCGAAAGTGGGCATCCTTGCCTTGTTCCTGTTCTTAAGGGAAATGCTTTTAGTTTTTGCCCATTGAGTATGATGTTGGCTGTAGATCTTTCATATATGACCTTTATTATGTCTAGATATGATCTTTCTAGTCCCACATTGCTGAGCGTTTTTATCAGAAATGGATGCTGGATTTTGTCGAATGCTTTTTCAGCATCTATTGATATGATCATGTGGTTTTTGTTCTTCATTGTATTTATGCGGTGTATCACGTTTATTGATTTGCGAATATTGTACCAGCCTTGCATCCCTGGGATGAATCCCACTTGGCCATGGTGGATAACTTTTTTGATGTATTGCTGGAGCCGATTTGCTACTATTTTGTTCAGGATTTTGGCGTCTATGTTCATCAGGGATATTGGCCTGTAGTTTTCTTTCTTTGTAGTGTCTTTTTCTGGTTTTGGAATTAGAATTATGCTGGCTTCATAAAACGAGTTTGGAAGTCTTCCTTCTTCTTGAATTTTTTGAAATAGTTTGAGGAGAATGGGTGTTAGTTCTTTAATGAATGTTCGGTAAAACTCCCCTGTGAAGCCATCTGGGCCTGGGCTTTTGTTTGCTGGGAGAGTCTTGATTACATCTTCAATTTCTTCTGTTGATATTGGTCTGTTCACATTTTCTATCTCTTCCAGGTCCAGTTTTGGGAGACTGTGTGTTTCTAGAAATTTGTCCATTTCGCTTAGATTGTCGAATTTGTTGCCATATAATTGTTCATAGTAGTTGTTTAACTATCTTTTGTATTTCTCTGGTGTCAGTTGGTACTTCTCCTCTTTCATTTCTGATTTTGTGCATTTGGGTTCTCTCTCTTTGTTTCTTAGTGAATCTAGCTAAGGGTCCATCAGTCTTGTTTATCTTTTCGAAAAACCAGCTCTTTGTTTCATTGATCCTTTGAATTGTTTTTTGTTTTTTTTTTTGGTCTCTATGTCGTTTATTTCTGCTCTGATCTTTACTATTTCCTTCCTTCTACTTGCTCTGGGGTTTTCTTTTTGTTTGCTCTCTAGTTCTTTAAGTTGTGAGGTTAGATAGTCTATTAGAGATTTTTTTTGTTTTTTGAGGTAGGTCTGTAGTGCTATGAACTTCCCTCTCAGAACTGCTTACGCTGCATCCTGTAGATTTTGTATTGTGTCTTCATTTTTATTGGTTTCCATGAAGTTTTTGATTTCTTCCTTGATCTCCTCGGTAACCCATTCATTGTTTAATAACATGCTATTTAGCTTCCATGTGTTCAAATGTCTTTGTATTTCTTCTTGCAGTTGATTTCTAGTTTCATGCCATTGTGATCTGAGAAGATGCTTGATATGATTTCAGTCTTCTTGAACTTGTAGAGACTTAGTTTG